TGAATATTTCCCCATCCTGCAGGACAGCACTGGCGTACTGATGAAGAAGGTCTAGGTCGTGCGTCACTCGTTCCTTCGGAATGCAGGACGTGGACTCTGGGGCGCCCCTTATGACAATATTTTGCTTACGATTTATGGAAGAGCTCATTACTGTCTCGTCCGCGCTAGGACGATGTAATGCTACTGTAGTATTCCCGACGGCTGTTGTCACTTCGACATTTGAATGATTTTCGGCCGGCGAAGTGAGTTTAGGGCATGGATTTTCATGTGACGTACTTGCTCCGGCAGTGGAGCTCTTACAATCATTACCCTGTTGCAATGTACTGCACGAAGGCTTATCGTGTCCTTTTCCATAAACGGATTGGTTAGGGCACTTTCCAGATGAGTTAGCCTTGTGAAGAAGTGGAGTAACCGCATTGCCTTCCAAGAATAAAGGCGAGTCCTTGTAGTTTCTAACAGATCTTCTGAGGGTCACCCTGGCTTTCCCAACTTTAGTGTTCGATGATTTGGCAGGTTTAGTTACTATAGCAGGTAATGGAACCTGATTTATTTTTAATGCATTAGTGTCGGCCGCCACGTTATCCACTGGAACTGATTTGTCTAGAGTTTCCTCTGGAGACATAACTCGCTTCCTCTTCCTGACTGGCTTTGACTTTTCCGCGCTAGTGCCTTTATTAGTAGGATGCTCGTCGCCGATCGATCGAAAATTTGGCGGATTATTTGGTAATTCTATCTTACTGTGCTTAAGAATAACCATGATGATGTCCGTCAGTAGGCCCTGCTTCTCTTCTGGCGTCTGGACCCGCTTTTCAAGTTCCTTACAGCCGACACAACGACCGACAAGCGCAGAATCCGTCCCGTCTGTCATACAGTTTTCGAGGCCTCTTGGCAGTGCATCGGTTCTTATTTCCTGTCTTATCTCTTCGAGGCTATTGTGCGTAATCTCCCTGGAGTCTAATGATTCCAGCGGCATTTTATCACAAGAGACTGCTAATGAATTAAACACCGTTTTAAGTTGCTCTTCTGTAGTTGATAAACATATCTGACTAGCGCCAAACCGTTCATCGATAGCGCAGTGGCTAACGCTCTGGCTTCCAGATCCATAGGTACCGAGTTCAAATCCCGG